CAGCAGGAAACCTAAATGCATGAAGAGCAGAGTAATTATTTCTAGTTTGGAGTTTCTATGAACTTTAGCTTGAAGGTGCGTTGGTGTCTGATATCAGACATCTTAATATCTAGTGTTTTTAATACAATTTTTGATATTCATCATAAATTTTGGATATGCTTTCATTATTTCTTACAAGATTAGCATTGTTGACTTGAAATTATGCATGCGTTATATGTGAATTTTGAAGGAGATGGAAAGAGAAAAGCAAAACTTGACCTCTCGGTTGATTGTACAAGCTAAAATCAATAATAAGCAACATCTTAAAAAATAATGCTCAATTTCCTACCAATAAAACAATTGAGAGTAATTTAAGTTGTACAAGTACTAAATTTTAAGAAAGAACTCTAAAATCAATAAATAAACATAAACAAGATACCTTTTCTAAAACAAACTATTTATGATTTATTATTTTGAATTCAGAAGTCTCTCGCACTTTCATGGCTAGGAAGGTCTAAATTAGAATCATCATTGTAATTTTTAGCTTTTTTGTCTTTTTTATCCTTGTAGTGTTATAAATACCACATGATTGATTCTTCTGGATAAATCTCATGATATTCTTCATGTTCTTCAAAATTATAGGTTAATATGTATGATTATTGAGAAACTTATTACACTTCTCTATTCTAATTCCACTAGATTTTTTTTTCATCATTTTTTGATCTTTTTTATATGTTATAATTACATCATATGCAAAATGTAAGTAGTTTATTTTGCTTTCCAAACCTACTCTTTTTTCTTCTGTAGATTTAAAAAATGATTTACAGAGGTGTTCTACGGAATAAGTTATCATTCTAATCAGATTCATTATATTTAATCTCTCTTATCTTCCTCTTCTCTAACTTCTAAAATCCGATCAGAATATTTTTCAAAATAATGACAATATTGACTCTTGATCTTTTTTTAGTTTTCTATCACGTAAAGTTTTATACTAACCTGTTATGTTACTTTCCTGTCGTTTTTTTTGTTCTTTCCTATCAGAATGGTCATATTGAGCTCTTCCTCTTCTAATTGTGATGGGTAAACTCTATTGTAATCTTTCACAAACAATTTATCATACATTTTTTTCTTCTTTCTTTTTATGATATAATTTTTATTGCAATGCCACTTGAGCCTTAAGTTTTCAACTCAAGTGCTGGTATGTGATATAACCCAAATCCACATGAGTTAGTTTAAAGCCAACTTGAGCCATGACTTTGAACCCAACAGCGGGCCTTAAGGTGCATTGCAAATTGCACAGTTTTAAATAGAGTTTCAGATCTTATGATTTATTGATATTCATTATTCACACAATTTATTTTCCTTTGCCTATTTAAGAAACCAATTAAGCTATTGGTATTTGATATGCATTTTGTTTGTTTGCCTATTTAAGAAACCAATTAAGCTATTGGTATCTGATATGCATTTTGTTTAGATCGTCGAGAATGTAAAGACTGTAAGGTCATTTCAAGTGAGGATTTGAGTACTCATCATTGATTATTAGTTCTAGATTTTAAGATGAAGAGTTGTAAAATAAATAATACTATGAATCATTGTCGTAGAATTAGATGGGGCACCCAAAAGATAGATAAAATTATTTCTATGAGTAAACTTCAAGATTTCAAGATTTGAGATGTTCATGAAGAAGTAAATTCTATGTGGGATAAATTAACAAACACTATTCAACAAGTGGCAGAAGTTCTACTTGGAGAATAAAAAAAAAGTTTCTATAAATAAAAAATTGTTGGTGGTGGAATAATAATGTGTAAAAAAGCATAAAATATAAGAAGTTATATTATAAAAGTTGGTTTAAATGTAAAAGCTTATTGAACTGGAAAAAAATATACAATGGCCCGTAAAAAATCTAAGAGAGCAATTTGTGACGCTAAAAATTCTGCTTTTAGTGATCTTTAAAATATATTAGATACTAAAGTGGGTGAAAAATATGTGTAAATTAGCCAAACAAAGAGAAAAGAAAAATAAAGATTTTACTCAAGTAAAGTGTATTAAAGAAGCAATCAAAAAGTGTTTTTTTAGAAAAAAGATATTCAACATAGGTGAATGAGTTATTTTGATAAACTTTTTAATGAAGTTTCTGAAAATACGATCGACCTTAGTGATCTTAATATTGTTAATAATAATAAAATGTTTCATTTTTACCGTTGCATTAGTAAAAAAGAAATTGATAGTTTTTATAAAGAAAACTAAGTATGGAAAGTCTATAAGTCCTATTGTGACGCTAAAAATTCTGCTTTTAGTGATCTTTAAAATATATTAGATACTAAAGTGGGTGAAAAATATGTGTAAATTAGCCAAACAAAGAGAAAAGAAAAATAAAGATTTTACTCAAGTAAAGTGTATTAAAGAAGCAATCAAAAAGTGTTTTTTTAGAAAAAAAAATATTCAACATAGGTGAATGAGTTATTTTGATAAACTTTTTAATGAAGTTTCTGAAAATACGATCGACCTTAGTGATATTAATATTGTTAATAATAATAAAATGTTTCATTTTTACCGTCGCATTAGTAAAAAAGAAATTGATAGTTTTTTTAAAGAAAACTAAGTATGGAAAGTCTATAGGACCTGATGATATCCCAATTAAAGTGTGGAAATATATAGGAAATTTGGATGTTTCTTGGCTTACTAAATTCTAATATTATTTTAAAAACTAAAAAGATACCGACTGAGTGGAGGAAGTATGTTTTGGTTCCCATTTTTAAGAATAAAGAGAATGCACAAGAGTGTGCAAATTATAGAGGAATTAAGTTGATGTGCCATACTTTAAAATTATGGGAGAGAGTAATTGAACATAGGTTAAGACGTATTACAAAGATTTTTCATAATCAATTTGGATTTATCCCAGGCAGGTCTATTATGGAGGCTATACATTTATTGAGGGGTTTGATGGAGAAGTTCAGTGAGAATAATGAGTATCTACATATGATTTTTATTGATTTAGAAAAAGCTTACGATAAGGTTCCAAGGGACATCCTTTGGAGAATTCTTCTTGAGAAGAAAGGTGTTGATATGACTTGTATTCAAGTCATTGAAGATATGTATACTAAAGCTGTTACTTGTGTTCGAAATGGAGGATTGACCAAATATTTTCCTATGTTTGTTGGATTACATCAAGAATCGACTTTAAGCCCGTACCTTTTTGCTTTTGTTATTGATGCTCTTACTAGACATTTATAGGAGGATGTACTTTGGTTTATGCTTTTCACTGATGATATCCTCCTTGTGGATAAAACTAGAGAGAAAGCTCAGGAAAAACTTAAATTATGGAAGTCTATATTGGAGTTTAAAGGCTTTTGTTCGAGTAGAACTAAAACTGAATACATGGAATATAATTTTAGTAGTAGTAGCTGTAGTAATATAGTTTGTGATAGAGTTGTAACTATGAGTGATCAAATTATTAAAGGGTGTGAATGCTCTAGATATCTCCAGTATATTGTTCAAAGTGATGGTGATATAGATGGGGATGTTATTTGTAGAATTTAAGTTGGCTGGTTGAAATGGAGGAATGTAGCTGGCCTATTATGTGATAGAATATACATCTTAGAGTTAGAGAAAAAATTTTATAAGATGATGGTGAGATCATGAATGCTCTATGTTGTGTAATGTTGGCCTTTTGTTTAAGGGGTTGTTTGGTTTGCAAGCTGTATTTACATTGAATAGGATTTAATATGGCTTTGCACTTAGAGACAAAATGTGAAATGAATATATCCATGATAGGGTTGGTATACCTCCAGTGGTGGACAAAATTAGAGAGAGTTATCTTAGATCGTTTGTTCACATTAAACGTCGACCATCTGATGGTCCGATTAGGGGAGTAGATATTTTAGATTCGACTTATGTTCAGAAAGGTAGAAGTGGACCTAAAAAGATTTGGGCATAATGTATAAAAATGATCTTATTTTATGAGAATTAAATAAAAATATGACAGTTAATAGGATAAAATGGAGAAAAAAGATTCATGTGGCCGACCCCATTTACTGGGATA